CCTTTTTTCAAAAAAAAAAAAATTCATCCAATCCTCTAAAATTTGGTAATCACATCTAATTTGGTAAACTCCCCTACGCTGATATCCAATTGGATCATTTCTTTTGGGGCTCCTACTTTTCATCATGAAGCTCTACTGATTCTTTCTACATCTGAATTATTTTAAAGTATGTTTGTTATGGTTGGAAATATTGAACGATTATAATGATTAATGCAAAACATATGGTCATGTCAAATTTTTATGACATTTCAGTTTTGAAAACTTGTCTACAATCCTCTAAAATTTGGTAATCACATCTAATTTGGTAAACTCCCCTACGCTGATATCCAATTGGATCATTTCTTTTGGGGCTCCTACTTTTCATCATGAAGCTCTACTGATTCTTTCTACTTCTGAATTATTTTAAAGTATGTTTGTTATGGTTGGAAATATTGAACGATTATAATGATTAATGCAAAACATATGGTCATGTCAAATTTTTATGACATTTCAGTTTTGAAAACTTGTCTAGGTCATTTTATCTTAGTTTGGTATCCACAGTAAGATGTTTTACTTTACTTTTTATGAGTACAAGCCGCTTTGATTTTTTATTTATCTGTTTATTTTTTTGTTGGTAATTCTTTTTTTTTTCCTTGGTAATTCTTGTTATTATTGTTGCATTTGAAGTTTTTAAATGCTTTCTTGGAAAAGAATTGAATTAGTAGTTAGCAATGGTGAACTGCTAGACTTGTAATGTTCCATATGTGGTGTGTTGCTTTTCATGACATTAGTATTTTCTCTCTACAAATAGCTTACATATGTTCGTTATCAGGCAAGGAATCACTGCAGTAGATTTTGACAGCAAGGTAAATACAAATTGATATTGAAAGGCTTTAGTTGAAAAGAGAAACTGTTTAAGTAAATGTCATTGTGATGCTTGATGCTTGAAAAGTAAATAATTCGTGTGTAATGTTCTAAAATAAGAAAAACATCACATTCAAATATACTTAAATTTAATCAGAGCTAGCATTTGAATTAATCTTTATCTCTATGTTCATAAAACTCTGAAGCCTTTCCTGGTTTTAAAACCTTTCTTTTTGGTGCAAGAGTATTTGAAGGAAGACCCATATACAGGCGTAGAAATTACTGGGTAAAAGCTGGTGCAGGAGTATTTGAAGGAAGACCCATATTCTGGTGAAGTTTCCTATAGTTCTATTTGTTTCTACATTGCTACTTAATGATTTTTGCAATCTATTTATATATAGTATTTTATATCTATTTCACAAAAGCCTATCAGGTATATATGGTTTACTTGTTCTGCCCAGGCAATTATCAGACAGTTGAAAACATGAATTTTCATGTAGTATAAAGCTAATGATTTTTGTCTCAAAATATGACCCATGCCAAATATGCCTAAAGTTTTGTGTATTAAATTAATGATGATTGTGTCTTTAAGTAAGCTATGAATTTTGTGTATTAATAGTAAATATGCCTCAAGTTTTGTGTATTTTTGTTTTCAGGTTTGAGTGTTTGGTATTTTGTATTGCAAATTATTTACATTGTATGTACCATCTTTGATGTAGTAGCCAATCCCACTATTTGCTATACTACATTATCAGTTTTGGGTTAGGTTGCTCTTAGTTAGCTATTTAGGATTAATTACTTTAGGTATAGCATTTGAATCCTACAATCATGATTCCTGTGCCCAAAGTTTCTGCCTTTTAGCAAGGGATAACTTGGTTTCTGAAGATTGAAAAGAAATTATCTGAAGTTTAATTGAACAAGGGCCCCTCTTAATTTTGAATGGTAACAGTGGTGTTTTAGAATCATAGTTTTGAAAACATACTAGATCAGCTAGTTGAACCAAAAACCAGTCCCCTTATATGAACTGCTTGATTGATATCTATTAGTAGTTGGTTAGGTGTCTGTTAGTTAGGTGGGCTGAGATATTAGAACCTGATGGGGTTATTTTTATGGTATTTGTCGGAGGGGATATTTTATGATAATTATTTTTATAAGGTTATTACACAAACATACTCCACAATGATGAGATATTGTCCGTTTTGGGCCTTAGCCCTCACGATTTTGCTTTTGGTCATCAACTTGCCGTGGACAACAGTAAGAGAGATAATTCACTTGAAGGAATGCCATCCTTGGAAGATATATCTACTGAGCAAAGACAGTCTGGCTCGGATGATAATGAAGATGCCTTAGCATATCCACCTTTTTTCAAAAAAAAAAAAATTCATCCAATCCTCTAAAATTTGGTAATCACATCTAATTTGGTAAACTCCCCTACGCTGATATCCAATTGGATCATTTCTTTTGGGGCTCCTACTTTTCATCATGAAGCTCTACTGATTCTTTCTACTTCTGAATTATTTTAAAGTATGTTTGTTATGGTTGGAAATATTGAACGATTATAATGATTAATGCAAAACATATGGTCATGTCAAATTTTTATGACATTTCAGTTTTGAAAACTTGTCTAGGTCATTTTATCTTAGTTTGGTATCCACAGTAAGATGTTTTACTTTACTTTTTATGAGTACAAGCCGCTTTGATTTTTTATTTATCTGTTTATTTTTTTGTTGGTAATTCTTTTTTTTTTCCCCTGCACGAAAGTGTTTCAGTACAAGATGTCGGCCGAGCTTCCCTGGTCGACCAATGTTTTCTTCACGATGCAGTTGTGCATTTCGACCGAGATCACCATGGGGTCATCCTGTACGGGGTCAACGCCACAGAAATCTCGGTCGGAAAAGGTTATAGGCGACATTCTCGGCATCCTCGACTGGTTCACACTATTTACTGATCGGACGGCACGAAGGTGTCGTTTTCATGCTGAAGAAGTAGACCCTCCTCCGGCGAAACCTCCGGCTATTGTGTTGATCACCTTCCGTGATCGGTCATTGTCTTCCCTGGGGCGCTGCGATCGATCTTGCCTTTTGGGCGAACGTGATCGGCGACGTCAGTCTCTTGGCAGACGAGCTTCGCGGGAGTGGTGGTCTCTCTCCCTTGACTGGTGGTCTTGGGGGGGTGATAAAGCTTCTTAGGTGACCCTGCTTGATAAGGTCCTCGAGCTTGTCCTTCAGCGCTGAGCATTCTTCGGTGGAGTGCCCCCTGTTTCGGTGGAATCGGCACGTCTTGGCCTTGTCGGCTCTGGGGGGCGTGTTCGCCCTCCTCGGCATCGCAAGGATCTCTGATGCAAGGGCCTGTTCCATTACTTTGGCCCTACTCGCATTGAGGGGAGTATACGCCGTGTAGCGAGGTCCTCTCGGGGGGCGAGTATTTGGGGGCTCGGCGTTCATTTTCTTTACTTGCTCTCGGCCAGATTCTTTTCGGCTATAATTTTCTTCGACCCTAGCCTGGTTCCGGGTCTCTGCAAGCTCTTCCATTTGCATGTACTTCTCGGCTCGGCGCCGGAGGTCGTTCATATCGGCTGGCAGCTTCTTGCACAAGCTGTTAACAAATGGTCCCGGCCTGAGGGCCGTGTTTAGCCGGTCCAATGCCACGGCGGGATTAAGATCACCAATCTCCATTGCAATCTTGTTGAATCGGTCCATGAAGCTTCTCAGGCTTTCCTTCTTTTCTTGACGAACCCCCGCCAAGGCTAAAGAGGTCGTCTTGTAAGGCTTGCTCGTTGCAAATTGTAGGGTGAACTGGGACGATAATTCGTTGAACGAGTCAATGGAGGCGCTCGGCAGTCTTGTGAACCAACTCAAAGCCCTTCCTTTCAGCGACGTGGGGAATATCCGGCACAACGCCGAGTCGTCTTGCGTGGAGAGGGTTGCTTGAGTCAGAAAAACGTTCAAGTGTTCCTCGGGGTCAGACGACCCGTCATACTTCTCAATCGGCAAGCTCTTCCAATGGTCCAGCAGTGTTGCCTCCATTATTCTACGAGAGAAGGGGTGCCTCAGGGAGTGAGAGGGGGTGTCGACCATGTTAGCTATCAGAGAGGTGATCGGTGTTCGGGTGACCTGCTCAGTCGGGGCGTGATAGGCGGACTCTTCCGCTAGCGTGGAAGTGGATGGAACGTAAGTTTGGTTCAGGTTTCGGAGCTCAGCATTTTGTCGACGTAGCTCGGCCAGCTCGCGGGCATCGGCTTCTCTCTGCCTTCGGATGGCCGCCATTTCCTCTCGTAAAGCACGCAAGTCATCTTGGAAGTTGGGTTGTCCTTGGTCAGTATTCGGCTACACCTGTTGTACCACAGGCTCCGGTTGGGTCTGGGGCATTCCGTACGGGTAGCGCTCTCGGTTGGTCATGACGGGATTATCTTGGGGGTTAGGGATCGGCTGAGTCATTGTTGATTGTCCTTTACGGGTAACTACCATGTCTTGGTCTCAGTTGGTAGGGTTAAAAGGGGCTGAAATGTCTCTTCGGCCCCACGGTGGGCGCCAAATGTTCCTGTGCTAGGATACACACTCCAATTATCCTTGTTGTAGCGAGTCGGGTCTTGGGTCGAAGGTCTCAGTCTCTTTGTTCTTTTTCGAATAGTCCGAAGTGTAGGGGGGGCCTGCAAAGACACTCCGACGCTCAAGTTAGTCGTCGGTGTAATAAATGCGGTAGGTGGAAAAACTAACTACGTACCTCGTTGGGGCTCTATTTATAGGTGTTCGTATTGGGCCGCGATTAAGGATTGGGCCCCGGAAAATTAGGGGGTTAATCCGATAGATTACGGTAATTAAGCTTTTCGTAATCATTCTGACAGATGCGCTGGCTTGGCCGACCACACCGAAACGTTTTAGTCGTGTACGAGTGGTCGGCGGGCACGGAGACCGACCCCTTTTGCTTGGTAAGCGGTCGGTGTGTTCGGTAGTGGTTTCGGTTTGCATTGGGTTCGGGAGTTCGGTGGGATCGGTCAGGTTGGCTTCGGTTCGGGATTTCGGTGGGATCGGTCGGGTTGGCTTCGGTCCCATAAGGTATACTACTAAAATTTGTAAAAGTCTACATTCCGAAATCAAATTCAATTTTAATTTTGCTCAATAAAATTATAACCAGTTAAACATCATTTTTTCTTTCTATCCAAAACTCGTTTTAAGTATAACTCCTTTTAATTTAATTCAAAATTGTTCCTTATGGGATGACATGGGCACTAGTGGGGTTCAAATCCTTGCTCGGAGGCAGATGGGTTTAGAGAAACAAGGGCTGTGTACTACGGTGCCTGGATCAGTGATGAGTGACAAGACTCACAAGAGCTTCAGTTGTGTCTGTTTGTTTGTCTGTTATGCTTGCAAGTTAAAACTATTATCGTTAAATTTTATTAAAAGGTGACTTGTTTGTGTCACTAAATATGTTTGGTTGCAAATTGACCCCACAATTCAGCACCGGAAAACAATGACTTTGCACCCACTTCTCTCACTAAAAGTACCACACACACTTTTTTGTGAGTGTATTTTAAGTCTCTTTGCCCCTCTTTCTTTCTCTTCAACCATTGGTTCTTCTTAATCAGCCCTCTCCCTCCTTCAACTTCAAATAAACACACAAACCAAAAAAAAATAAAAGCATGAAGAAGATCAATCTATTACTCAGAAAATGCAAGAGTTTGTCAAAGCAGCTAGGAAGATCTTCATCATATAGTAGCCTCAGGTCCAAATCCGCTAAGGAAGACATATGGGGTGGACATGGCACGCAAGAAGATGAACATTGTCAAACTATATTTGTTGGAAGCACAAGGAAACGGTACGTGATCAGCAAAAAGTATCTGAACCATCCTCTTCTGAATGCACTAATTAACAAGTCAAACCAAAAGGAAAGTGATGAAAGTGTGGTGATGGTCAACTGTGAGGTGGTTCTTTTTGATCATCTATTGTGGATGCTAGAAAATGCAGATCCCAAGTTTAGTTCTGACTCTTTGGAGGAATTGGCTGAACTCTATGTGTTTTGAGAGTTTTCAAAGTGGTAGATTGAAAACACCTAATGTAATCAAGTATGTTGGGTTGTGCCTGCATTTTGCAAAATGTAATGGTTCAGAATCCTTTTTGTTTGCTTTATCATAACTTTATCAATTAAATGGTTCTGCAAATTGTATAGCTGACTTTTCTCTTAACTCGTTGGATTTTTCAAGAGACCATATACAGGCTTTGCTTTTGTTCAAAGTTCTGGGGTTTTTAATGAGGAAGGTTCTATTGCATTGGCTGACCCTACAATTATGTTACTACCCCAGAAGTCCTAATGGTATTAGATCCAACAACCGGAGAACCACTCATTTTTTTACCCTTAAAAATATGGATTCCTACGTCAATTAATCCATATAAGCCGTTTAAAGAGTTTGGTATTTAAGTCATATGTGCACAATAAGCATGTTTGGATCTGTAAATTTTGAATTAACTTATTTTGTTTCAATCGTTATTTTGTAATTAATTATAGTAGCTATAATTTGTAATTTAAACAATCATGTCATAATTGACGGTCATAATAATGTTACGATTTGTAATTAAGAGATATTAATTATAATTTAATTTAATAAATAATAGAAAAAATTATTTTATTTATTGATAACTTGACGTTTTATTTTTTTATAATTCTTTATCATTACTTTACATAATGTCTCATCCAATCTCTTTAGCATTGTACATTTCTTGCTCAAAGAAAAAAGAAGTTTAGAAGAATTTAAAAGAGAAGAAAATGACAATAGATATTAGATAAATATTAAAAAAATGAAATTTGATTTATTATTAGAATGATGAAAAATAAGAGTTACCAATTTAAATATCAACTACAAGGAGTGAATCAAATATGAGAAGGAATGAATATTACCAAAAATTATAACAAAATGCAATGGCATTAAAATTATTTTTATTTTGTTCAATTAAAATTATACAACAACAAATTATGAAGATTCTAAAGCAAAATTTAAATAATTCTACAAATATAGTTTCAAAAAGTAATTCTAAAACTCTTTTAAATAAGGAAAAACATACAAATTAAAATAATGGAGAAAATTTGTAAGATGAAGAAAAGTTCAATTCCATTATTCTACCAAAGTCTATTGTTTAATTCCAGTCGAGATCCTATCCATTAGGGTTTGTAATATTACCTCATCCGTCAACAATCCACAATTTAGATCCATGAAAGATTTGTGCAGTGTTACCCCATCCATAAAGATCTCTCATTACAGGGTTGTCTCATCCACCAAGAATCCTATACGCAGTGCTTCCTCATTCATAGAATAAGTTATGAAGACATTTAGGAATGAGCCATTTATAAAATTGAAAGAGAAAGAAAACAATAAAATAGAAATGGATGACCTTTTATTCTTATCAAGCATGGTTTTGACACGAAGAGGTTGATGTCTGTTGAGTCAAACGAAGCAATTCCCAGTAAGATTTTGAATGAGACAAATATAATGCATATCATTATTTCTAATGAGTACGTTAGTGTTTCAAAAAAACGTAAGTAAAGGCAAGTTAAAGACTAGAGTATATGCATATACCATCTTCTACACCAGAACCAAGACAAAAGTGAGCTAAGCATCGGGCCTGATCAAAAGAAGGATATACACCAGACAAAGCTACCCACAAACTACAAACCTTGCATCACAACAAATTCAATCCTTCCTTCCCAACCCAGACACAACGCAAAATAAAGAACAGAGCACAAGCAACCACGATAAAGTGCAAAAGCTACAAGACATCAGATGAAGAGACCAAACAAAATCAAGCCCAACACAAGAAGGAAAATAATGAAGCCTCATATGATAAAAGACCACAGACGATGGAAAATCTAAGTCAAAGCATCCTAGACAGAGTTAAAAGTCTGCACAGCTGACCAGACCAAAGAAAAAGTCAAAGTCTATCTCTTAGACGGAGACTCAAATTTCCAGACGAAAATGAAGAATGTTGAACTGTGTCTGAACTCTACTAAGTCACAACGAGAAGTACTGCTTATCATCCCCACTCTCAAAAGAACTCATGAAGTCATCAAATATAGAAGAAAAGAGAAGAGAAAAATGGACTAGTGCTTATCCACAAGTCAAAGATGCATATGTCAGAGCAAGTACTCCTACCAGTCAGTAAAAGACAATGCCTCTGCAGCTACAATGCTAGTAAAGTATAGATATGCCTAGGTTATGATTGAAGTCAGACATATAAGTAAACAAACGGTACAAAAGACTTCATGTTACACAAATTCGATGAGAAAATATTTAATGCAAGATCAAATGCATTAAATACAAGATCTACGAAGCCTGGACAAACTAAACAAGAAAATCAGATGATGGTTGGTCAAGCATCAAGATTAGGTCTGATAAAAAATAGGAGAACATTCAACAAACACTAGATGAGGCCTACTACAAGTCAAAACCTTGAAGTATCAGATGAAAAGCAGGGCTAAATCTGGAACAAGACAAAAATGGGTTAAACATCAGATGAAACCAGATGGTCAACTCTGATAAAAGAACAGTCAAGGCAAGGCACATCATGAGAATCATACAAATCAAGCTAACTGAATAGACAAAGTATAATGTGTGTGCCAGACGACTATGAGTCTAATGTCAAATGAAGGTGTTGTAGACCCCTAAAATTGTCCGGGTCGGAAAT